GGGGAGGAAAACACAAAACACGGAACACAGGACTGACAAGTATTCCATTCTTAAAGTTCAAAGCAAAAAGAAATAATCAAATTTACCTGCTACGACATCAACCGATTTATTTGAAGGCCCACAGTAAAGAACAGCTCTGGTCTTCTGTGAATTGGAGGCAGGACGTTTTTGAATATTCTTGAACAACCAGTACACAATATGGACACCAACAACAGTTTTTCCTGTGCCTGTGAAAATGCACAACACTCATTTAAAATGAAAGGACTGAAAATCAAGCACAATGGCCTTATTGATACCAAAAAAAGTCTGAAAATATCTCTCACCTGGTGGGCCTTGGATAAGAGTGAATGGGTTGGCCAGTGCCTCTCTTATAGCTTTACACTGACTGTTGTTTAGATGGGAAAACCCAGAAGGAAGATAATTGTCAATCTCAAACCTGGCTGGCATCTGCTTCGAAAATTTAGTTCCTTTGAGGAGATTTAGCGTAGATTTAGTTAAACTACATTTGAAGAGATCATTTTGAAAAACATGGCTAGGAAATCACTAGTTCTGACAGTCTGAAATACAGAAATGCAAGATGTTATAAGGAGGCAGTCAGTCTTTAGTACCTCCTTCAGAGTTGATTCTTCCACCAATGGCTATAGTTTTCACAAGCTGGTTAGCTTTTGTGAGACTACTAATTGCATTTTCTTTGCGTCTGCAAAATAAATAAAACAAACTCATAATTAATAAAGGATACATATTTACAATACACATTTAGGGTGCTATAGTATCTATGATTTGTAGTCTTACACATCTGGCAGAAGCTTTGGAATTAGCTCCAGAGTAAATCTTGTCCTCTCACCAAATATCACTTCTGGAATTTTTGTCATGGGCATGTGGTTAATCTGAAAATCAATTTGCAAATTCTTCAGTTCTTTGGATCCTGTTTCTTTAACTTTTGTAATTATGCCATGGGCCATCCAAGTGATAGAGGAAATATCCATGAGAGCTGTGCACTGAGAGGGACTACTCTGACTTTGATTAAGCTTAGTTCGAATGCAGAGGACACTGTTCTTAAGGTCACATTCAATGGACCACTGAGATTTTTTGTCAAGTGGGAGGAGAAAATAACCTTGAAGCTTCTTTTCACAAGAGTTTTCCCATTTCAGGGCTGCATCTTCAATAAGAATGCTCTCATTTTCAGCAACAGCATTGGAGGCAGACTCCATTTCACACATGGGTTTCCATATTCCCTGATAATCCATGTATGTCTTGTATGAATTCCTTGATGAGTGGAATGCATATTTTGAAAAACACTTGATTGGATCTCTCACATGCTCCAAACAAATCTCAAATTTTGGATGCACAACAAACAGCTGAATTGCTGGTGTCATTAGTCCTCGTGCCGTGGCTGTACCTAGCTGTACTTCGACTGCCTCACCTGGCCTTATTCTCATCGACAGTTCGGCATAATGCTCAGCATGCATGGGATCAGATTTTTCTGAACTTTTAGCATTTCTCAGTCTTTCATTGAATTGTCTTGCATGGATTCTTGAGCTGACGTCAAGCTCCTCAATCAGGGGAAAAAATCTGTCCCAATTTTCCTCTCTAAGAGCAGCTGCTAGGCATTTCCAGGTCTTTGTAGAGACATAGGCCATGACTGAGTTTGGAGTTTGCTGTTTCACTTCAGCAAGGATGTGAGGATTGGAGAATGAATATATCCTTCGCACCCATTTCAAGATCATGCAGTTGTTGGTTTCATCAAACTGTGGTTGATCTGCCAACTGAAGATCCCTGTACATAATGTCTAAGTT